ATATGGAAAAAGGAAACCAAATTGATATATGGGCTAGGGATAGCAGTGGCAGAGAAAACAGAAGGAGAAAGAAAAAGGGAGAGCAATGCCCCTTAAAGATTAATTACGCAGCATTATGCCCAACCATAACTACAAAATAATCTCTCATTAATGTGGCTATACGAGACGTGTCTATTGCATAGCTTTTATAAATAATTTCCTTCGTTCCATTTTAATAAAAACATTTATCTTCTGGTAAGAATTAAAAAAATGATTTTAATATACTGATTTTCTAAATTAAATAGTAAAATATTTAAATTGTCATTCTTAAAATTAAAAACTCCAATTTTAACTTTACTATAAATCATGTTAATCTCATGTCGTATTAAAACATCACCATTAGAATGATACTTTCATTTCATTTTTTTTTAATGTCTTGATATAGTGAAAAACTTTTAGGTATGTGTGTAGTAATAATTTTAATTTAACTACAATTAAAATAATGATAAAAAATAAAGGTAAATATAAAAAAAATTACACCTAATAAATATAGATAAAATAAAAAAAAATTATCAATATACTCTTAAAATTCTAAAAATAAAGATATACTTGATCCCACAAAAAATTGAAAGGGCATTTTCAAGTCGAATCACTCTATTTGCTTTCGCTTGCTTTCACTTTCTTTTTATTGATGAATTTCCCTTACCATACTCCATCTCTCTCTCTCCTTATCCGTGAAGCAGTAAAGCAGGCAATGGTAATTAAGAAACGTAATCAAGAGATTACTTAGGTGACGTAAAAAAAAAAAAAAAAAAAAATAGGGTGACGTAAATAAAAAAAAAATAAAAAAAAAGGGCATTCATGCCATGAGATTGCCATCTTACAAAAAAAAAAAAAAAAAAAAAGGCATTCATGCCATGAGATGCCATCTTACTCATATGCGACCGTCGGAAAAGATTTAGGCAGTTGAGTCATCCGTCTGATCTTAAAAATTGCGTTATTAAATTTTTATAAAGATAAAAGGGTCAAATTCAGAAATAAATTTATGCAATTAAACGAATATTGAATAGTGTTATTTTCTACCAAGCGAAAATACCAACTCCTAAAGGTTCAAGAACTCCTTGAACTGATGACTCTTGTGATAGACATAAAGTTCACAAATTAGAATATTTGAAAGAATGTAATTATGTGAAAACAGGATTGGTGAATGTATTTTACAATTAGATTTCAAAGGCAACGAAAAAAACTTAAAAATTTATTTGAAGTCATCATTCTATCACTAAGATGATCATTTAAAAAGAAAATGGTGTGGTCTGATTGATTTTTTCACTAGTATAAAAAATGAAAGTCTCAAATTTAAGGTGTCTCGCTCGCAATAGTTTTCATCGATTTTTAGTGGATAACAATAGCTCACCTAAAGCACTCCTTTCGTAATAATATGAAAATTCATCGCAATACACTAAATAATATGTCAAATTCTGCAAACAAAAATGAAATTTATCATAATAATTGGTCACAATATGAAAAATACAAGTCATACATTAAGCAAAATAGAACTTCTTCACAAAATTTATCAGTCATATTTTAAATTTAGTAATCAATTTTTGAAATTTGGATATATTAGCACCCAAAATAAGATTAAAGTTGGGGTTTAATCGGTAAACTAAATTTATTTTTATTAAATATTCAGAGAAAAACTTTACATAATCTAGCACTAACCTGTTATTTAGAAAGGAGAGAAGAAAAAAAAATTGAAAGAAAGAAAATCACGAGGAATTGTCAACTTTCTTTCTATAGTTATTTTTTATATTTATATTTTTAACTTAAAATCCAATTTTCTTTTTTTAATACTATGAATTTTAATAAATAAAATATTCTAGTTCGACTCTTCAAATATATACTTAAACTTAAGTTTAATCTGAACTTGAACTCGGTTTGTTTACACTTTATGGTTAAAAAAATTTATTTGGATTTTCAAGTTATTAAGCTTATGAAACTAAGTCCAACAAGTTTTATTTTTTAAAACTGAACCTCGAATAGCTCAGAAATGATCTGATTCATTTACGGACTTAGAATTATCAGAGAGGTAAGCACATCTGAAGGTCTATGATAAAGACAGCAGGCACAATATAATAAAGCCGACAGACACATTAATTAACCTTGATTAAGAGTTAATTTTAAAATAAAAAAGGTGGGTTATTGATAATCCTTCTTCGCAAAACCGCAGTTCCTTGCGCACTGTGCCAACCGGAACGGGAAGAGAGCGAGGGCTGCTGCAGTGAGGAGGCGACAACGAGGCCGGCGATGGTCTCAGGTGGTCGGAAAAAGAAAACTTTAGGAGGCCGCGCACGATTTTTCGTCTCAGGTGGTTCGGAAAAAGAAAAACAAAAAAAAAAAGAAGATTGAAAGGTTTGGGATTTGTAGGAGGCCTTGTCGGCGCAGGTTCCCCTGGCCATGCCATCATGGCGCAAAGTGAAGTAAGGAAGATGGATAAACTGAAAGAGAAAAAAGAAATTATAGTAGAGACAAAGAAAGAAACAAAAAAAAAATCAAGATGGGGGCATTTCTTTAGGAACCATTCCCGGTGTTCGAGTTCCGAGAATCCCGGTGTGTGGCACTCTAGTATTATAGAATCGCCTCAATTTTGCTATGTCGGTTTTGCAGTTTTTACTTGGTTTTTCAACTATTGTTGTGAGTTTTTACGATTTTTAGAAGATCCAATTGGTTTTTAAGGCCCCCCCGTTCATTTATTTTAATTATTTAGTTTGGCCATAATATTTTCTCCATTCCAACTCATATAGAATAAAATATGAACCAAATTATGATATTTTGATTTTAGAAATTAATTAATATATCATCATAACAGATTAAATTGCTTTCATATTATTTTCTTGAAAAATTTAACTGTTCTCCAAATTCGGAAATTCTGACAATATATTTGGCTTGGGGGCCCAAACTCACAACACTTTGGATCCAAATTAAAAGATTGTTTGTGTTAAAGCCTATCATAGTCAAAAAATTCTCTAGAATTTTTGACTCATAAAAAAGTTTAAAAGATTTTTGTAAAATAAAAATTCTGTTAGAGAGTATTTTCCTTTATATAACGCCGTCCTACAAAAAGATGAGTATTAGATTTAATAATGCGAAAGAGGAAATAAATTCGAATTGAATTTCACTGTTATGCATTCTCTCTGTAAAATTTTAACAAAGGTATTATAATGATTGAATAACTTTTTTATTGCAGGTAATTAGTCAGTTAAAAATTTTAACCTAAAAATAGCGTGTAATATTATAATATTTCTATTAATTTTGAAATTTTCGCGGCCATATAGGATCCTTTAAACTGTTTTTATATTAGTAGTTATTATAGAAATTTCAATCTATTATGTATAATCCATAGGACCATATTATTTAAAAGTTTGTGAAATTTATTATTACTGTATTAATTAGAGCTCTTCATTTATGTTATCCTACATATAATATAATTTAGCAATTCATATATATTATTATATAAATTATTCGAAATTTTACCTAGATATGATTTAAGTAATTGTTTATGAATAATTGTATTATTACAATTATTCTTCTTTTTATTGTAGATCTTATTTTTAAAATAAATTATATATATTCATAACAGATTAAATTGCTTTCATATTATTTCTTGAAAATTTTTAACTGTTCTCAAATCGAAAATTCTGACAATATATTTGGGCTTGGGCCCAACTCACAACACTTTGGATCCAAATTTAAGATTGTTTGGTGTTTAAAGCCTATATAGTCAAAAATCGAAATTTTTGATTTAATAAAAATTTAAAAGTTTTGAAAATAAAAATTCGGAGTATTTCATTAACCCTCTACATAAATTATATATATATAATGGAAGGAAACAATGAGATTTCCGATATTATTCTTGTAAAATTTAAAGTATTATAAAATAACTTTAGTAATAGTCAGTTAAAAATTTTAACCTAAAAATATGTATATAATATTTCTATAATTTGATTGGATGGTCTTTAACTTTTTTAATAGATAAATTCACATAGATAATTAAGCATTTTAAATTTTTAAATTTTTACTATTATTATCTTATTATGTCTAATTATATTTTACTTCATTATATTATTATATTAATTATTAATTACCTGAATGATTTAATAATTTTTAATAATTTATTATTACATTTTTCTTTTATGAATTTATTTTAAATAAATATACAGATTTTATTTTGAGAGGTGTATGATTCAATTTCTGTAATTACAAATTGCACACTAATTTGATTGGCCAAAAATAAAATAAAAATTTATTATTTTTTAAACATTTCAAATTTGATTAATTATATTGATATCTTATTTCATTCAAATCCTATTATTTCTATTAAGGAATACAATTTATTAATAATCTTTTAAATGATTTCATAATTTTGATTAATTTTTTCACTAGTATAAAAAATGAAACTCTCAAATTTAAGGTGTCTCGCTCGCAAGAGTTTTCATCGATTTTTATTGGATAACAATAGCTCACCTAAAGCACTCCTTTTGTAATAATATGAAAACTCATGGCAATACACTAAAAAATACGTCAAATTCTGAAAACAAAAATGAAATTTATCATAATAATTGGTCACAATATGAAAAATACAAGTCATACTGTAAGCAAAATAGAACTTCTTCACAAAATTTATAAGTCATATTTTAAATTTAGTAATTAATTTTTGAAATTTGGATATATTAGCACCAAAAATAAGATTAAAGTTAGGGTTTATAATAAAGAAATATTTTAATAGGAGCCGCAATGTAATCTTGAGTAGAAATATTATTTAAAAATAGCTTCAAACTCAGATTGTGAGTTGAGTCTAAATATAAAACACATAAAGCAAAATTAAAACCATAGATAATCAAACTTCAAAGTGACATATATATTTTCTCATAACATGCAAGTTATTACATTTATTTATGTATTTATGAATAGCTCAAAGATTTTAGAAATACAAACAAACACTAGAACATAAGCTTTTTGAGAAATAAAGAAAAAGAGACTACACTTTATTCATAAATTCCAAATAGGGGAAGTCTTATTCAAATAGAAAACACGAGATAATAGCTAGGAAAGAAAAATATTCAAACTGTTGATCTTTCAGAAACCTTAACTTTCAAACCATTTTTTATATGAAGAATGACAGAAATATCTGGACTAATAGGATGGTTTTCAGCAATTTGAAGAGAATAATTCCATATAACAGCGCAAGCAATTACTTTCAATTCCATCAAAGCCATGTGCTTACCTAAACAACTTCTGGGTCCTGTACCGAATGCTATAAACTTGTAAGCTGGCACATGTTTGATCTGTCCTGTCTCCGAAATCCATCTCTCTGGCTTGAATTCTAAACAGTCTTCACCCCATATTTCTTTCATCCTTCCCATTGAATATAATGAATATATAATTCTCATATTTTTAGGGATATGATGACCGCTTGGAAGAATGTCTGGTTCAATGGACACTTTATGATTGAAAGGTAATGGTGGATAAAGTCGAAGGACCTCACATACAACTGCATGGAGATAGACAAGTTTGCTTAGCTCTCCAAAATTAAAAAGCCTGCTCTTGCCCTTTGTGTCTACTTGTAAATATTCTTTAAGTTCTTCTAAAATCTTTTTCTCCACGCATGGATGTGTTGCAACTACCCAAATCAACCAAGTCAAACTTGCAGAGATGGTATCTCTTCCTGCTAGCAAGAGACTCAATGTTATGTCTCTTAGAAATCTATTTGATTTAATAAGGATTCCATTTTGATCTTCTTGTTCATCAGATATTGTCAAAATGTATGTTAATAAGTCAAAATCTTCCTCTTGAATTTGATTTCTACTTTGGCTTAATTGCTTCTGCTTTCTTGTAATGGATTGTTGTAGAAAATCATCAAGTATGTCCCAAGCTTTTTTCAAATTCTTCTCAGTTCCAATTTGAAGCCATTTTTTCAACTTCCAAAGACTTGTAGGATAAAAGTGCCGATAAAGCAAAGCCTCCTCTGCACCACCCAAAACTTTCTCGATAGGAACTTCTGGTAATTCAATGGAAAGGGAATTTGGATCAAACCCCAAAACCAACTGACAACTATTATCAAATGTAAATCGTTGAAACACTTCTTGTATGTCTATCTCATTTCTTAGCTTGGAGGCATTTTCCAAAACTGGGAATAGCCCTTTCAAGATCTTTTGCTCAATACTAGTCTTTATAGCAAGCTCAAATCTCTTGTCTTTAAAAAAAGAATGAATAATTCTCCTTTGAGTCCTCCAACTATCACAGTCGGAATTGAGAATCCCATCTCCTAAAGGTTCAAAAATCTCCTTGGACTCAGCACCCTTAGGGTAGTTGGGGAAATTCTTATTCAAAGTGTAATGAATATTCATAGAATCACTAGTAACCAAGAAATCCAAATCACTAAACCAAGGCCCTTTGACTAGAAATGTGCCTCCATAACATTGAAGGACATAAGTGGAAAAATCATGAATACGAGAAGCGTTCCACAAAAGTTGTGGAATCATCCCAAAGACAGGCCAATAGATAATAGGAGAGCTTCTATTCCTTGCCCATACCCAAAGAAAAACAAGAAAGATAAATGCTAGTACTATCTCTCCATACCCAAGGATCCCCATTCAATCTGGAGTTACACTATTATTATTTTTCTTTCACTTTTATAACTAATTCTTTGTATGCTGCTACAACTCTCCAAGCTAGAATTTATAGAATGTGCCTAACTATCAAGGATGAAACTTGCCTAACGGGATTTATGGCAGTATCTATGTCAAAATCAATGAAAATGATTGATTTGTAAAAATTATACATATAATCGATTTTTGCATTTTAAAGCTTGGCCAGAGACAGATTCATGCTCTCTCAAAATATTTTTAATATAATTCCCTTCCCTTCCATTACCCTTAAAAAAGAAAAATGAGTCTTCAGCAAAAACAAAACACAAATGGGAAATCCTGGGACAACTAACACCAGGACGAATGGCATGAATCCTGCCTTTACTTATTGCCTCTTCAAAAAGTAGGGTTTGTCCCTTTGAGCCAAAAATAAAAAGACAAGGAAAAAGTGGATCTACTTGTCTCAGACCCCTATGTGGAATAATAGGACCCATTATATCACCATCACATAACTATCATCCAATAAGCTGCACCTAATAAATAAAATTAAAATTAAAATTAAAAAAATTATTAATATACTTTCAAAATCTTATATGAATATTAAAGTGTAATAAAATAAAATATTCATTTATTGCCGTTAACGATGAACCAAGGGAATACCACTTTAAATACTTTAGTCTCATTTACTTATCCAGGTACCTATTTATTCTCTAACCCACCCCCAAGGCACCACCACTTGCAAAAATATCCATCTTTCACAAAATATTGATTTTTTCACATAATTTTAATAATTTAATAAAAAATTTTATTTATTTATTTGTCAGGAGATTCAATGGCTCGAAATAATAAAAATGAGCTACAGAATAAAATAGTCCTCTCTTTGACTCAATAAATTAACAAAAATTTTTGTAATTGAGAGGATTCAAATTCGGTCCTCACACTGGTGAGAAAAACAACCAGATCACACTTTCTATATAAATGAAATGAATAAAAATGTATCTTATATTGTAATCGCCTATCTTTTTATAATTGATTTTTATAAAATTATATGAAGTATTACGAAATATTAATAGAAGTGCATTTACTCCACTCGCTGAAACTTGGGTGGATCACCTGTATTCATAATGTATATTTATTACTTTTTATTAGTGGCCAGACAATGCATATTTATTGAAGCATTTTTTAGCAACGGCCAAATCAGTGCATTGAACTCCAAATATTGGTATTTGGAAGCCACATTAATGCAAGAAAACATTATCTGGTTTTTTATTTTTTATTTTATTTCTCTCAATTTGCTTTAATTTTCTTAATTTGATCGGAAGCTAAATTATAATAAAATTATTTTCCATAAAATAATTAACTATTTGAAGTTAGTAGAAAAGAGTTAATAGCGATGTCACATGAAATATTTATACCAGTAAATCGTTAACTAGATAAATTTTTAATTTTGATAAATATGTAAATTGGTCAATTTACTCTATGGCCAGTGGGGTCACTTGACCTGCTGACAATACACATTTTTTGACTAGGATATGATTTTTTTTTTTTGCACTGAATTTATAAAAAATGTTCCGTATTCATAATTTTAAAAACATAATATTGCGTGGCAAAGCGAGAGATGCTATAATTTTTTTTTAAAGTAAAATGTGTATTTATGCATCAGTCTTTTGTGTTCACGTTCTTGTCCAATATGGCACGACATGCTTTTGAGACGTATTTCAACTTAAATATCAAATAGGCGAGACAAAATTAAATATGAAAAAGACCACTCTATCTACACACACGGACGGACAGACACACTGTGTATCTTAGAGATGAAAAGACCACCATATATCATAATCACAACAGCAGTCTAAGTTAAATTTTATTTTACTTTAACATACAAATCCTAGTGGAAAAAATAATTACATTATGAAATAAACTTAACTCCTCAAACACCCCAAATTTAAATTATAGCAGATTTATTGATAACCTTGGATTAAACTAATCCAAGGTGTTTTAAAGTAAATCGGTGTGTTTCATTTTAAACCTTTGTTTTAAAGGTCATGAAAATCAATTTTTATAATTTTTATCGTAAATATATTTTGATTAAAAATTTATTTAACCTTATATTCCAATAACAATTTAGAATTTCATTTGAATCAAAAACTTTAAATGCTCACGTTAGAAAGTGATGGTTTCACCATTTTTTGTTTAAAACTCATATATATCCTATGCCCCTAAGTTAAATTATTACATTTGCAACTCTTTAAAGCATATATCTAATTTTTCTTGTTTTACCGTTGATTATATCTAGACCATTAAATCAAATTAAAACCTCACATTATCTACAAGAATGTACGATCATGGAGATTATCTTCATTAAAACGTAAAATAAATAAAATAAAAAAGACAGTTGACCATTGATGCTAGCAGTTAGAGATCAAAAATTCAAAAGAAGATCACACATGAAATAAAAAGTAATTAAAAATAAGTTTGCAGAATTGAAATAGAAGTTATTGAAATACCATTATAAAGAAATCCTTGCTAAAAGTTTTTGTAAGTCCAATTTCTATACTTTAAAACGCCATTACAGTCTTAATTATAAACCTATTGATCTTTATAATTGCATTTCAATGATGGAGAAGGGATGATTTGCCTATAGAAATCTTGAACTTATAATTTAGATCATTGTATTTAAAGGTTAGTAATTTTTTTGAAAATTCATATTTTATTTATCATGATTTGAGCGATTATTAGTGTGAAGAATCTTGTTAACTTATATTTAAATTAGAGAATGTATTTTGTTTAAGAATTAAATTTTTGTAAGAAGATGATTAGCATATGAAATACTTAGTTTATTCTCATATTAAGAAATTCTTGATATTTTTTATATTGTGAATAACTATTTCCAACCATATTAATGTGGATTTCTTAGTTTGAGTATTTGTTTTTATCTATGTTTTTATTTTTATTGGTTGAGGACAAGATGATGTAACTTTGTATAAAAATATTCAATAAAGTATACCCCATATATTAAATTTGTACAGAACATGAATCTACAGCGAAAAATTATTTTAAAAATATATAGTTGTTGCATTATCTTCAAATGAATTTGAATTTCAAAATCTAAAATCTCTAATATTTGAAGGGTTTTATATGAATATTATTTTTGATTCGGACGTAAAAATAAGCTTGGAATATATTACAGGTCTTAATTATTAGCAACCTATTGATCTTAGAGTGAATTGACATTTCAATGATTGGAGAAGGGCTGATTGCCTATAGAAATCTGAAACTTATAATTTAAGATCATTGTATTTAAAGGTTTAGTATTTTTTGAAAATTCATATTTTATTTATCATGATTGAGCATTTTAGTGTGAAGAATCTGTTAAGATATTTAAATTAGAGAAGTATGTTGATTTAAGAATTAAATTTTTTAGAAGATGATTAGCAATATGAAATACTTAGTTTAATTCTCTATCTAAAGAAATTCTTGATATTTTTTATATTGTGAATGAACTATTTCCAACCATTAATTAATGTGATTTCTTAGTTGAGTATTTTTTTTATCCTATCAGTTTGTCTCTATTTTATTAGGCTTCTACCGAGGTGATCACAAAGGATCAGATTAACTTTGTATAAAAATTTCAATAAAGTTATAGCCCATATAATTAATAACTCTTGAACCAAGTACACGACTTGACTTCGTACGCACTAAGACAGCGGACATATCAATTATTTTTAAAATTATATAGTTGTTGCATTATCTTCAAATGAATTTGAATTCAAAATCCTAAAATCTCTAATATTTGAAGGTTATATGAATATTATTTATTGACTCGGACGAAAAAAAAGCTTAGCGAATAATCTATATACATATATATATATATATATATAATATATATAGTAATGTTTTTTAATTTTATCATTAAAAAATGTGTTAGGTATTATCAGTTAGCAATGGTACTGTCAAGAATATCATATCCAATAAAAATATGTATCAGCAGCCTACGAACCACAATTTTTATTTTTAAAATTTTATATAGTTAGATGGGTGTCAAGAATATCATATCCAATAAAAATATGTATCAGCAGCCTACGAACCACGTCATAGCCAGGGACGTTCTATATAAGTCTAGTTTAGAGGCATGTAGTAGAATACCGAGAGTGAGTTAAAAAGAATAATAAACTTAGATTGAATGGGGATCCTTGGGAATGGAGAGATGCTAGTAGCATTTATCTTTATTGTTTTTCTTTGGGTTTGGTTCTTGATGAGAAGCTCTCCTATTGTCAATTGGCCTGTCTTTGGAATGATTCCACAAGTTCTGTGGAATGCTTCTCATATTCATGATTTTGCCACTTATATCCTTCAATGTTATGGAGGCACATTTCTATTCAAAGGACCTTGGTTTACTGGCTTTGATTTTTTGTTGGTTAGTGATCCTACGAATATCCATTACACTTTGTCCAAGAATTTCTCCAACTATCATAAGGGTCCTGAGTTCAAGGAGATTCTTGAACCTTTAGGAGATGGTATTTTCGCTGCTGACTATGATAGTTGGAGGACTCAAAGAAGAATTATTCATTCTTTATTTAAAGACAACAGATGTGAGCTTGCTATAAAGACTAGTATTGAGAAAAAGATCTTAAAAGGGTTATTCCTAGTTCTCGAAAATGCCTCCAAAGTGGGAACTGAGATAGACATACAAGAAGTCTCTCAAAAATTCGCATTTGATAATATTTGTCAGTTGGTTTTAGGGTTTGATCCAAATTCCCTTTCCACTGAATTACTTGAAGTTCCTGTTGAGAAGGCCTTTAGTGATATGGAGGAAGCTGTGCTTTACAGGCATCTTTTGCCCACAAGCGTTTGGAAGTTGCAAAGATGGCTTCAAATTGGAAAAGAGAAGAAGTTGAAAAAAGCATGGAACCTGTTTGCTGATTTTGTACAACAATCAATCACGAGAAAGCGAGAGCAATTAAGCCGGAATATAAATCAAGTACAAGGAGAAGATTTTGACTTATTAACGCACTTTTTGGCTACAGATGATGAACAAGAAGATCAAAGTGGCATCCTTATTAAATCAAACAAATTTCTAGGAGACTTAACACTTAATCTCTTTGCAGCTGGAAGAGATACTATAGCTGCTTCCTTGGTTTGGTTCTTTTGGGTAGTTGCAACACAGCCATGTGTAGAAAAAAATATTTTGGAAGAAATGAAAGAAAATTTACAAGTTGACACAAAGGGCAAGTGGAGATTTTTCCGTTTTGAAGAGTTAAGCAAATTAATATATCTTCATGCAGTTATTTGTGAGGTCC